ATGCACCATTAGGTATCACTGACGGAAAGGTGTGGGGAGATGGTCTCAAAAACGTCACAAGCGCTTGGTGTTGAATAGCAGTTATCTACGAATGTGCTCGATCGATGTCGCTAGGAAATCCACGTACCTCGATAGCGCTACTACTTGCATACTGAGCACCGCTACAGGACGATTTGGGTGTAAATGTGTTTAGAGTGCCACCTTTGTCTTCAAAGTTATGTTGACGACGAAGTGACAATCAGGTAGACGTTGAATGCGCCCGACGTATCCCAAAATTCTCAACATTTTCCAGTTTGCGTTGAAAGCGCGCATTTTCTTAGTGAATCAGGGAATATGCAATGCGCTGTGATGAAATGTAGGCATGTTCCTTCAAACCAATAAGCCTTAACTGTCAGTCAACAGCTTGAGCTGTGCTAAGATTTGATTTACATTTTTTGCGCAACCGCCTGAATCATGAAAATCACTGCAGTATTCACCCTTTACTGCCCCACTCCTCGAGAACTGAGCCGGGTTTTTATCGAAATTGTCCATGACTGTGGATTTGGCTAGAAACTTGCCTTCAGGGGTAATTCGACCCGTAGAACACGAATATCACATTCGTTTACCGCTAGGCGCTCGCGCCAGAAGCGCCGGCGCCAAAAGGCGCCAGAACATCTCGGATCACCAAATTCGCTGGAAACTTGTCTTCAGAGGTACTTTGACCCGTAGAACATGAATATCACATTAGTTCGTTGCGAGTGAGCCTGTAGCCTGCGCGCCGAGCGTTGTCGCGCTAAACTGGTATGATATTCGTGTTCTACTCGTCAAGATACCCCTGTGAACAACTTTCTAGCAAAATCCTTGGTCATGGACGAACTTCGATCAAAATCCTGCTCAGTTAGTGAGTGGGGCAAGGGTATATAGTGCCAAAATCGCTAATATGAAATTTGGCAGGTAGATCTCATTTGAAGAAAATATTTTATACGCAGAAGTATCGCTGAGTAGAATTGATTTGTGTCAGTGAATTCAGCGAATATGTATGAGTGGTTCGAAATCCACTTGAACCCATTGTGATGAAAGCTGACTACAAAAGCGCATCCACACGAAACTCTTCGCACTCCGTCTTTCCACTTGAGCGATCTCGCACAATACGTACATATGTGACACCTAGTCTATCTAATGCGAAGATCAATGTCGAGTAAAAAAAAACAGTTTTCCTTGGAATTCATGTATTTTTGGAAAACAACGTCAAGGCCACTTACTTACGAAGTCACCTCAACGATCATCACTCACATCACATTATTCGAACGCGCTGAGTGAGACAGTCTTATGTTGATGATCTTACAAGAGAAAGTGAACTTTATTTTTATCTCTGTAAGCTTCATTTCGACTCTACTGGTTCCTGTAATAATTGTAACTCCCTATTCTAGTAATATTGGTTCCTGTAATAATTGTAATTCCCTATTTTAGTAACTTTGGTGTTGATTCTGTCCTTCTGCAATCTGCGATTTTCCGCATAAGTCCCCTCTTTGATGAGAAATAGGTGGATTCTATAGAGTAACATCAAAAAATCGCTATAGGGAGTAACTCCTTCAAAATGTGCATTGAAGGAAGGGATGGAAATATTGAAAAAATCGCAAAAAAACTATGTCAACGAAAACTATGGTAGTGAATGGGACTTTGCTAGCGGTCGTTCCCTTCGAAACAGCCACCTCTTCCAGTAGCCTATTACGAAGGACAATGGTAGGTGAAAACGAAGATAACGAGACGGCCTTTGTGTCGTTGTGCTCCAACTTTGCAGAATTCCATTACACCTGAGCAAATCCCGCTGACACAGACTGCGTGGATTCTGATTGACAACACCACAAAAAACAGGACTGTTTGCAAGAAACTCATCAGGCGAAAGCTGTGACAGCAAAGTACTTCGTTAGATGTATGATCATGTACAGCTAAAGAGCTCCGTCGTCGGCTATAAATAGGGGGGGGGTGGACAGACAAAATCATAGCATCCGAAATGCTTCTTATAACTGCACTTCTGTTCTTCTCTCTTCTAAATATCAGCGCTCAAAGTAAGTGCTATAATTTTAAAGTCGGAATATGCATATATCTATCTTTACGCCATGTTGGCTTATGATTCTGCAAGCCACCCAGCAACATACTTTTACAGCATCGCATGCAAAAGCTTTCACAGAGCTCATGAAAGGCGACATCGAGGACTTGCATGAAACCATAATTGGAGACCTAGTTGGTTTTTTTTTCGAGCGGTTTCGCCTTAGCATAGAAAGTATTCTTTGATCATATAAACTCACCTTCTAAAAATTATGTATAGGAATGGGATGATGGGTTAGCGGAAGAAGCGCGTAAAGAATTAGAGTCGCCACTTCCGAAACCGAAAGGAGCTGACCTGAAACTCACAGGGACAACGTTAGTACAAAGGCCTTCGGAGTGTTCTCCTATCCTGTATTGCCTGGAATAGAATATGAGCATTCAGAACTGTCACGGATGGAAACCGAGGAGGAATCGTTACTTCAACTCGTCAAGGGTTTCCTCGAAGAAAACAAGGTTGGTTGAGGTTGTTGTGTAACAACAAGATGTCGATCTACCATAACACTCGACAAACAGGATCCTTTTTCCATAAGTTAATACTACATAAATTTCGGTGCAGCGGGTACCTTCCTGGGGTGGTGAATTTCTAGATTCTTCCAGACTTAGAGAGTTTTTTTGCCGTACAATTTATGTAGCCTCAATTATTCTAGTTTTGCGAGCTTTTAATCGATCCTCAGGCAAGACTTCGCTCCCTTTGCCAAGGCAACATTTTTTCATTTCTGAAATTCATAGTTGAGTTTCGTTAAAGGTGAGGGATTGAGAGAATTTTCATATTACTTCATTTATGATTCATCTACATGTAAATGTTTCTGTTCGGTCTACCTCGTTGCTTCGAAATATCTTATTTTTGGCCAATCTATTGAGACCCACACATGTATTCAGGGTCGCGGTATCAATCAGGCTCACACTATGGATGTGGCAGCTCGTACAAAGAATTGGACGAAGACCACATTTGCCAGTCAGGTTCAGGTCGCTTGTCTCTACAATTGGACGTATCTTGCTTGAATTTTCCGATAAATTTCTCGAGCAATTGAAGAGCAAAACAACATTGATAAACTCGTTGGCACACTATTGCGGAATAAATGTTCGCTTGACGATATATAAAGCGTTATCAAGAGGCCATGTTCCTCGCATCCAAAGATCAGTACGCGCGCACTCACTCGCTCATTTGAGAAATTTGCCTCCTGCGACATGAATATATTCACCTAGATCTTTTAGAGAGCAAATGGCAAGTGAGTGCGCGCGTACTGATCTTTGG